CGCCCCGCCGCTCCCCGCCGCGCCGCGCCGCAAGAGCCCGCCCCGCGGCGGCCCGGCTGGGCCGGGCGGCGGGCGGCCGCGGTATGTCATGCAGGTGGCGGCCAAGGACGGGCAGCTGCTCTCCTCCGTGGTGCGGACTCTCGCCACGCAGAGGTAGGGAACGCGGGGAGCGAGCGGCGGGGTGCAGGCGGGGAGCGGGGTCGCGGCTGCGCTGCGCGGAGCTGGAAAGATGCGTCGGACGGGGCTAGCCCTGGACTTCGGCGGGACGCGACCCTTCGTCTGGCCGCTGTGGGGTTGCTCACCCCCGCCGCGTGAGTGACCCGGAAGCCCGAAAGGGCTGTTCCCCCTTTATTTGCAATAACTTTTTCAAACCCGGTGGTTCTGCACGTCCCCGTGGGAAGCGGGAGGGCGCGGAGCTCCGCGCTCCGCCCCGCTTCGGTGCACCCCGCTGTCTTCTTCGCCCCGCTGCCGTGAGGAGCCGCGCCAGGCACCGCCAGCAGCTGCGGCGGGGCGAGCCCGGGAGTGGGGAAGCCGCCGTGCACCCTGAAGAGAGATTCTTCGGTAATAAAGTTGGTTAAGTTCGGAGTCTCCAGGCTTTCTCTAGAAGGAGGATCACCCTTTGCACGTAGAATCACAGAATCACAGAATGGCTTTAGCTGAAAGTGACCCTTAAGCCCATCCAATCGGCAGGGCCACCACCCACCAGACGAGGCTGCCCGGGATCCCATTCCACCTGGCCCTGAGTGCCTCCAGGGATGGGGCACCCACAGCTTCTCTAGGATGCTGAGAGAGAATGCAGGAGAATTGGCTGCGGGAGGAAAGTGCTGGACATGGCATTCCCTTCCCAGGCTGCTCTTATCTACTCTTGGGCATCTGGTGGGGGACTGTCCCAAGGAACGGTGAGTGACTGTGTTTTCACAGCAAATAAAGCTATTCCCTCATGACCCTTTCACCTGCCAGAGCTGTATGTTTGTTTTCTCCCCTTTTTAACACCCACAGAACAGACCCAGTAAGTAAGTTTATGCACATGGCTGTGGCTGTAGCCTGGCAGCCTGCTGCACTGACCACAGAGCAAAGCATGCACCTTGCAAACATTTCCTGCATTGTGAATTGGTGGTGTCCCTGGCAGCAGGGCTGTGTGCTGACCAGCAGTGTGTCTCTCCTCCTGCAGCAGTCCCTTCAATGACCGCCCGATGTGCAGGATCTGCCACGAGGGCAGCAGTCAGGAAGACCTGCTTTCTCCTTGCGAGTGTATGGGGACGCTGGGGACCATCCACCGCAGCTGTCTGGAGCACTGGTTGTCCTCGTCCAACACTAGCTTCTGCGAGCTCTGCCACTTCAGGTTTGCAGTGGAGCGCAAACCCAGGCCGCTGGTAGAGGTCAGTATGAGGGGCACATCCTCCCGAGCTCAGCCCTAATGAGCACGTCGCGTCTGCTTTATGTGGGCATCACAGAGATGCTCTGCTGAAGCAAGAGCAAGCTGGAAGCCTGAGGCTCTGCAGGGTGAGGGCAGGAGCTTAAGGAAAGGGCATGAGCAGCAGAGCCTGACTGATTTGGCTTTGCTATAAACATGAGTGAAGGTTTGGGGAGCAGTTTGTGTGAGGAGTACAGAGTACAGCAGCCAGGGTGGTGATGGTGAGAGGTGTGTCACAGATATGTGGTAGTTTCTGCTAGATATATTCAGAATATTTGATATGTCAAGAACTATTTTCTCCTTGCTTCTGAGGAAGACAATACAAATTAAGGAGGAACCTGGCTTCAGTATAGAGCCCAAAAGAAGTAATTGTTTTTGTGCAGTGTCTGGCATTTTCAGCCACTCTGGAATGACCTTTTGGCCTCCTCTTGTCTGGGTACCAGACCAGACCGCGAATTGGTAATTGTTCTTCCCTTATCAATTAAAGTCAGTTTCAGTGAACAATAGATGTTTTAGTGGCTGCATGAAGCTTGCCAGATTTTTTTTTCATCTCCAGGAAAAGGGGGGGAAAAAAGCCCAAATAATTATCTCTACCATGTTAATGATTTTTTTCTTTTTCTGTTTTCTTTTGGAGGAAAAAAATATATATGATTTACACTGAAATTAAAAGTGAATTACAAATAATAACTATTTTTAGAAACTATGTGAAGTGACCGTAGCGGTGGTGACGCAAGTACTTGCATGCTGAAGTTTGTGCTGAGGGCAAAGTGTCCTTTTTGCTTACCTTATTACCACAAACTACAGCAGAAAAGGTAGTAGTTATGCTGTTGAAAATGAGGGAGAGGAGTTCTGTTTTGCCCTTGTTCCCAAGTAGGAGGATACAGGAAAACACTGACAGGTGGGATTTGGGTCAGAGCATGGACAGTGGTGAGTGAGCAATTCTCATTGAAGACCACCAAAGCTGCTCCAGACTGGGTGAAGTTAGGTGTTCCCACTTGTGTCTGAATCCGAGAAGATCTTCATTCTTCCTTAGGATCCACAAAAACAGAGATGTGGGAGCTTTTCTTACAGCCAGATGCCCTGAGCTGGGCTTGAACTCCTTTTGCTTCCTTGTTGGTGTGGTTTTGGTGCAAGGATGTTGCCATCCTGAACTGTTCTTCTAAAAAGAAAGATAAGCAGTCCTGAGAGGGTGTAAACAAGCAGTTTGATTTTGGAGTCTGTCTTTATTAAGCTGTTCCATTACAGTGGCTGCTCCTGAGCCTTGCTTTGTACAAACAGAGCATGACTTATCTCAGAGAAGTAAAGAAGCAAGCCTCTTCATGCTAAAAATCAATGGTATTATTATGATATGATATATGATATGATGTATATCACACATACAGTAACAACTTAAAAGCTGCCTTTTTTTTCCTCAGCTGGAGACAAGTGGGAGGGACAGGGGCATCTCTGAAATATGGCACACGTTGCTCACTGAAGTTTTTCTCTTTACTATCCAGTCTTTTCTTGCTTCTCAGCCACCACATCCACACCACAGTATTTTAATGCAGTTTTTGGCAGTTGCAGAAAGGCTTGTAATAAAGCAGCAACTGATTCTCTTACATTCCTTTGCAGTCTTACAGGAGGAGTGTGTTTCTGATTTAGAAGGGAATCAAACTTATTCTTTCAAAGCTGAGAGCATCAAAGACAAAAAGTGACTGAGATGGGCTGTTTGCAAGGAGACAAACCTAAGCAGGAAGATGTCAACCAGACTTCTTGATTTCTGTTGCTGTGATTTAAGTTTGCACTCAAAGTTTGCATTAATCTATTTCACACAGTGCTTTGTATTTCCCAAACCTCCCCAGTCAAATAATTACAGCCAATCTGAAAAGTTCCCAGCATTTAGCTGCACATTGCAGCTAAACCAGGTTCAGGTTTCCAGATCCTCTCACTACCTATGCCCTCCAGCACCATCTTACCTGCCTCCCTGTGTTACCTGAAGTAACAGTAACATGGAGAGATGATTATCAGATAGATCAGACAAAATTTCACAATTTTGCTCTAAATCTTGGACTAATGGCAAGCCAGAGTGACCACCTGCTTCTTATTCCATTATGTGTGGATAAGAGCTGTGCGTGTATGTTTGGGTGATGGGATGACAAATAAGGCAAGTACTGTCAAGTCTCCAAGCTGTTTTTCACTCACAAAGTGCTGGCACAGCTGACAATGTGAGACACAACCAGAGTCAAAGTTCTCTTCATTTAGTAGAATAATTAGTTCTCCAAAGGTTCTTTGGAACTAGATAATGGAAGTGGTAAATGGTCCTCTTAGTGGAGATGAATGATGAGTTTATGAATGCATTTTGGGAGGTCAGGAGGGATTGATGTACTCATAAGGTCATTTATAGAGTGTAGCCAAGATAAGCATATCTAGTAATTCCTCATCAGGTCCTGTCTCATGTAGAGACTATATCCCATTCATTGGTCAGTAACAACCACGACAAAAATGCTTGAAGCAATCAATCATCATATTAATATTTTCTCTTAGAGATTTTTCTTCAGGGAAAAAAAAAGAGTTGCTTCTGTCTATTGAAAGAAATATCATTCACTTTCCTACAAGGGACAAAAAAAGGAAAAAATTCCTCTCACTAGTTTGATTGCTGCTTCTAATGGGGCGTAGCCATAAGTGTGTGAAGAAGATCTCGAAGGAAACAAATTGATTTACTTAGTTGCTCTACACAGAAATGTCATGCCCAACAAGCTGTCATGCTGTTAGCACCCAGGAGATGCTGCATTAGTATTGGGCTTGAAATGAAGTGAGCAGAAGGTGGCATGGCTGCCTGTTCGGCCGTCTTCCTTCCTCCCCTGTGTATGTTATTATGGAAGCAGCAGAACATTTTGTGCTGCAGTTAGTTATTTAGTCAGAGCAGTTTAGTGGACCCATTCAGTTTCTCCCTCGGCCACGGTGTCAGTTTGTCATTAGTTTATTATGAAATGAGAGCAACTACTCCATGAAAATTTATTGTGAGTTGGCTTTTTGCCTTCTTTTTGGCAACTGCTTACGTTCATGCTAAGGATGCGTGCCCTTGAATAGGAGACCTTCAGCTCAGATTAAGGGAATGTCTCTACAGCTGTGTCCTGCATTAATTTGCACAGGATGCAGAAATGCAGGAATCTCACCTTTGCTTTCTCCTCCCAGCTTACATTATGAGCAGCAGCCTTCTTTCTTTCTGGATTTTTTGTTGTAAGTTATGGCAAAAGAAATTTGATTTTGACCTTTGTTTTGTCTTTCATTTGTTATATCTTTTCTTCATCCTAAGTTTCTATCTGGTCAATTGAGTTCCAAGGTATATGTATTTGTCATAGGAGACTTTTCTTTAGCTGTTATGCCCTGCAGGCTTCTGTTTGGTTGAGAAACACTTCTCTGTGAATGTACAGTGTGCTGGAGTCAGGAAAGTCAATCCTCTCAACATTGTGTTTGTGAAGTTTTGGGCATTCTTGATGTACATTCTCTCAGCTCAGATTCTTGTCCTTAGAAGAATTGTGTTTCTTAACTATGTGATTGGGACGATATTTATTCAGTCTTCAAGGAGTGCGAGTTGCTCTCCACCTTTTCTCCCTCAAGGCATCATGCCATGGTTCTGGGTGGTAACATATGAAGGCTGTGGTCCTGTGTTCTTCTCTGATGCTGGGACATACAGAGTAATACAGGAGAAAAACAAATTCTATGTTGGTTTTGATACCTGTTTACCACACTCTCATTTTTGCCTTTCGCACTGGGAGAAGTGCTCTGTGTGTTGTTCTTCAACAAGTAAAAGAAGTATGCACCAGGGATATGCAAGCACTTCATCTCCATGGGTATTTATCAAAGCTTGTTTGGCAGAAAGCATTGTTCTTTGCATTCTTCTTTGTCTCCATATCTTTGGTCTCCTTTGTGTCAGAAGTGCTGCCCTGTGTGATTTTACAGTCACTGTTGAGAACTGCTTGCTGCTAGGCACTTCACAGGGTTAGTTATACAAGTGGTTTGTGTGCAGCAGGTGTGGAGTGATAGGGATTGACAGCTAACCTGGAGCTGTTGCACTCCCTCCACATGTCCCTGCTTCTGCAGGGATTTTGGCTCAGTGGATGGGTTGATGCTCCTCTGCCTTGGACTTTCATTTCACAGCTACTTATGAACTTGTTCACAGCAGCTGCACTGGAGATAACTTGGTATATAGTTGCAATAAAGTAAAGAGATGGAATATGATAGTAAAAGTGCTTTTTCAGTACATTTGGGACATCAGGAACTGGGTATCAGTATGGTAAACCTGGAGGACTACTATCCGCTCCTGCTCTTTCAAACTGGGTCACAAGAGGCTGCAAATAGAAAATTACAAAACACTGAAAAGGACTTTATGTCCTTTGGGCATGGCCCTCTTCTGGACTCACTCCAGCAGCTCCACGTGTTTCTTGTTCTGGGGGCCCCAGGCCTGGATGCAGTACTGCAGATGGGGCCTCACAAGGGCAGAATAGATGGGGACAATCCCCTCTGTCTATCTGCTGCCACCACTCTTTTGATGCAGCTCAGGATACTGTTGGCCTTCTGAGCTGAAAGCAGACACTGCTGGCTCATGTCCTGCTTTTCATCCACCAGGACCTCCAACTCTTTCCCCATAGGTCTGCTCTCAAATAGTTCTTCTCCCAGTCTGTATGCATATTTGGTGTTGCCCCAGCCCAAACACAACACCTTGCACCGTGCCTTGTTGAACATCATTAGGTTCACCTGGGCCTACTTTTGAAGCTTGTCTAGGTCTCTTCAGATGACGTCCCTTCCTTCTGTTGTATCAATTGCACCACTGAGCTTGGAATCATCTGCAAACTTGTTGAGAATACACTTGATCCCACTGTCTGTGTCATTGGTAAAGACATGGAAAAACACCAGTCCCAAGATGGATGCCTGGGAGACACTGTTTGTCACTGGCCCCCTCCTGGATGTAGAGACATGGACCAC